ATACGTGAAGCCTAAGGTGCACCCTGTGGTGTCCCAACATTGCTAACCAGACAGGGTGCCCCCCAGCTGGAGGACGTGGGGGGGCAGGGTTGTTTAATGACTGAGGATGTGTTAAGATTGGTGTGTGTGAGCTGTGTGAAGACAAGCATCAGGGGGTCCAGAATATTTCCATGCAGCTCAACAACATCAACTTGCCTATTGGTCTGATGCTAATTATGTTGCTCCGTAGAAAGATACTGAACCCTTGCATTCAAATACCCAGTCCAAACATGTGTTGGTGAGACAGAGGCTATCTGAAAGAAAAGCAGGGTTCAAATTCAATAATGATATTTACTTTGAAAATTGGGAAAATAACTTGGACTTCCAAGATTGATCGCCTATGATGATTAATTCAAACCAGGGGAATTTGACTCAAGCTTTAAACAGGCAAAGGTGTGGAATAGCCTTTTGTTTTTAAAAAATGTTCCTTTTTTGGTTTGTGTGTTTCTTTTTAGCTGGCTTCCAGTTTTGTTTTAGGCTTTTGCTTTTAGTTATTAAGTGTTAATTCTCTTCATGTTTTAAACAAAAACAAACAAAGTTGATGTCTATCAAAGCAGACGATCTAAAGCAGGTACTAGTTTAAAAAATTAAAAATGAATGGTGTAACTACTAGCAGTGTTGTTTTGATCTTTACCAGTAGGCAGTTAAATGTACTTCATTGTATAATGAGCTGTTCTGACTCGCAGGACTTGTGGTCTGAAAAATCGTTTCGAACCATTAGCAGCACATGAACTAATGATTATAGTGCCACACTGAAGAGTTGAGCTTTAAGTTCGTTATTCAGTTCACAAGTTGTCACTCTACACATGATACATGAAGGTTGGACCATCTCCTGATCCTTCTCCCTCATGTTTCTCTACCTGCTGGCTGGGCTGGCGCAGCAGTAACCTGGCTAACCTACATGTTGGAAATGTGGACTGGTTAGAGACTGAACTAGGAGAGTAAAATGGATGCGCATCATAAATAAACAGAACTGTGAAACTAAATACAAACAATGATGAGTTGTGATCTGTTTGTTGTAAACAAAACTCAGCATCGTCTCCTGTTTAACCCACATTGACGCTCCTTCAAATGTAGCTTCAGTTGTGTTTTAAGCTGATTTCACCATGCGCAGACCAAAGACAAATGTATGCCTTTTATGCACAAAAGTAGACCTTTTTGTTTAATTCAGACTTTTTTTTATATTGTACAAATTATAAAAGCCCCCTGTGCCAAATTAAGCTTGATTATTTATTTATTAATTTTTCAGAAATGCAGTTGTAAAAACAATCGTCCTTTTATTTTCTCTTTTTCTTTCTGATCTATCAGGATCTGTTGGATCCAGCCCGCTGGAAGATGCTGATCCAGCAGTTCCGATATGACAATTACAGACTGCATC